AGATGTCCAACAGGCACATGAAAAGATGCTCCACATCGCTAATTCTCAGGGAAATGCAAATTAAAACGACAATGAGGTATCACCTCACACCAGTTAGGATGGCCAGCATCAAAAAGACAAATGCTGGCTAGGATGCAGAGAAAGAGGACCCCTCCTACAGTGCTGGTGGGAATGTAAACTAGTTAAACCATTGTGGAAAGCAATACGGAGAATCCTCAAAAAAACTAAAACTAGAAATACCATTTGTCCCAGGAATTCCACTTCTAGGAATTTACCCTAAGAATGCAGCACTCCAGTTTGAAAAAGACAGATGCACCCTTATGCTTATCGCAGCACTATTTACAATAGCCAAGATATGGAAGCAACCTAAGTGTCCATCAGTAGATGAATGGATAAAGAAGAGGTGGTACACATACACAATGGAATACTATTCAACCATAAGAAAAAAACAAATCCTACCATTTGCAACAACATGGATGGAGCAGACGGTATTATGCTCAGTGAAATAAGCCAGGCAGAGAAAGACAAGTACCAAATGATTTCCCTTATTTCTGGAGTATAACAATGAAGCATAACTGAAGGAAGAAAACAGCTGCAGACCACAGACTACAAGAAGGGACTAGTGGTTACCAAAGGGAAGGGGTGGGGGAGGGTGGGTGGGGAGGGAGGGAGAAGGGATTGGCACATATGGTGTTGGGGGATCATGACAAAGACAGTGTAGCACAGAGAAGATAAGTAGTGACTCTGTGGCATCTTACTACACTGATGGACAGTGACTGCAATGGGGTATGGGTAGGGACTTGACAATACAGGTGAATGTAGTAACCACACTGTTTTTCATGTGAAACCTTCTAAAAAAAATTGTATAAAAAAATCTCTTGACTATAAGCATCAGCAATCTTTGCTAGACTTGTCTCTTTCGGCAAGGGAAACAAATTCAAAAGTGAACAAGTGGAACTACATCAAATTAAAAAGCTTCTGTACAGCAAAGGACACCATCAGCAGAAAAAAAAGGCATCCTACAATATGGGAGAATGTATTCATAACAGACTCATCCAGTAAGGGGTTAACATCCAAAATAAAGAACTCATATGCCTCAACATCCAAAAAACAAATAACTCAATTAAAAAATGGGGATAGAACCTGAACAGACAGTTCTCCAAAGAAATACAAATGGCCAATAGGCACATGAAATAATGCACCACAATGCTAATCATGAGGGAAATGCAAATTAAAATCACAATGAAGTATCACCTCACACCAGTCAGAATGGCCACTATCCAAAAGTCAAGGAACAACAAATGCTGGCGAGGATGCAGAGAAGTAAGAACCCTCCTGCGCTGTTGGTGGGAAAACAAATTGGTACAACTGCTGTGGAAAGCAGTATGGAGGATCCACAAAAAAAGAAATACCATTGACCAGTAATTCCACTCCTAGGATTTTACCTGAAGAAAACAAAATCCCTGATTCAAAAAGATACATGCATCCATATGTTTACTGCCACACTACTTGCAATAGCCAAGATTTGGAAGCGAGCTAAGTGTCCATCAACAGATAAATGGATAAAGATGTGGTACAAATATACCATGGAATGTTATTCGGCCATAGAAAGAGAAGAAATCCTGCCATTTGCAACAACATGGATAGAGCTAGAGGGTATTATGCTCAGTGAAATAAGCCAGGCAGAGAAAGACAAATACCACATGATTTCACTGATCTATGGAACATAAAACAGAAGGAGAGTCATAGACACTGAGAAGACACTAGTGGTTACCAAAGGGGAGGTGTTGGAGCTGATACTGCAGGGAGGAAGAAGGGGATAAAAGGTCACAATAATTCACCATCACAAGATAAGTTGATCACAGGGATATTTTAATTAACTGATTAACTGACTAATTAATTAATTAATTAAACAATAGTTTGCCACAGAGTTGAATGCATTTTGAATGGCTAAATGAAGTCTGATACAGGGTTTTCACAAACTTTCAATTTGTAAAAAGGCAGTATTGGGAAAACACGATGAAGCAGGAAGCATTATAAGGATCATACATGACCAAGTTGAATTTATCCCTGGGATGCAAGGATGGCTTGACATATGCCAATCAATCAAAATGATATACCATATTAACAGAATGAAGGACTGAAAAAAAATTATGATTGCCTCAACAGATGCAGAAAAAGCATTTGACAAAATTCAACACCCATTCATGATAAAAATTCTCAACTAATTAAGTATAGAAAAAATTTTCCTCAACATAGCAGACACCATATATGAAAAGCCCACAGCTAACATTTTCACTGATGAAAAACTGAAAGCTTTTACTCTAAGATTTGGAACAAAGTAAGCATGCACACTTTTGCCACTCCTATTGAACATGGTACTGGAAGTCTTAGCCCGAGAAATTAGAACAAGAAAAAGAAATAAAAAGCATCCAAATTAGAAAGGAAGAAGTAAAATTATCTGTTCGAAGATGACTGGCTCTTGTAAGTAGAAACCCTAAAGACATATATACACAAACACACACACCCCACAATTAGAACTAATAAATGAATTCAAGTGGCAGGATACAAAATTAACATACAAAAATCAGTTGCATTTCTATATACTAATAACAGGTTATCTGAAAAGGAAATAAAGCTAACCTTCTTACTTACAAAAAAAAAAAGGAAACATTCAGGAATAAACTTAACCAAGGAGGTGAAAAATGTTGATGAAAGACATTTTAGAAGACATAAATAAACAGAAAGGACAGTCCATATTCACAGATTGAAAGAACTAATACTGGTAAAATATGCAGACAACCCAAAGCAATCTACAGATTCAATGCATTCCCTACAAAATCCCAATGATTTTTTTTTATAGAAACAGAAAAAACAATCTAAGCATTTATATGGAAACACAACAGACTCCAAATAGCCAAAAAAATTTTGAGCAAGAACAATGCTGGAGGTATCACAATTACTGATTTCAAAATATATTACAAAGCTATGGTAGTAAAAATAATGTGGTATTGGCATAAATACAGGCATATAAACCAACGGACCAGAACAGACAGCCCAAAAATAAACCTACACCTATCTGCTCAACTGATCTTTGACTAGGGTGCCAAGAATACACAATGGGAGAGGCTAGTCTCTTTAATACACAGTGCTGAGAAAACTGACACCCACATGCAAAAGAATGACACTGGTCTCTTATCCTATACAAAAATCAACCTAAATGTGTCAAAGATCAACACAAGACCTGACACCATAAAACTCCTAGAAGAAAACATAAGAGAAAAGCATTTTAGCCTTGCCAATGATTTCTTGGGTATAATACCAATACAAGGCAAAAGAAACAACAAAGTGAAAAAGCAATCCATGAAATGATAGAAAATGTCTGCAATTCATATATCTAATATCCAAAATATATTAGGCGCTCATGCAACTCAACAGAAAAAAATAATAACAACAACTAAAAAAAATGGGCGAAGGATCTAAATAGACATTACCCCAAAGAAGACACACAGATGTCCATACATACATATATAAAGATACTCAATATTAATAATCATCAGAGAAATCAAATCAAAACCACAGCAAAATAATACTTCATGCCTCCTGGTATGACTATTAACAAAACAAAATAAAACAAATAAAACAAATATTGGTGAAGGTATGGAAGAAAAAGAATTCTTATACACTGATAGTGGGAAGTTAAACTGGTACAGCCACTATTGGAAACAGCATGGAAGTTCCTCAAGAAATTAAAAACAGAACTACCACTTGATCCAGCAATCCCACTTCTGGGTATATGCCCAAAGGAATTAAAACCAGGATCTCAAAGAGATACATACACTCCTTTCTTAATTCCAGTGTTATTCACAATAGCCAAGACATGAAAACAACCTAAATACACACCCACAGATGAATGGATAACAAAAACATGATATTTACAAACAATGGAATATTATTCTCTTAAAAAAAAAAAAGAAATGTTGTCATTTGTGAAAACATGGGTAAAAAATGGAGGGCATTGTGCTATGTGAAATAAGCTAGACACAGATGATAAACTACTACATGATCCCACTTCAATGTGGAATGCAAAATAGTCATACTCAAGCAGGGAGAATACCGGTTACCAGACGTTAGAGGCATTGGGAAACAGGGAGATGTCAAAGCATACAAAGTTTCAGTTACATAAGATGATTAAGTCCTAGACATCTACCATGTCTATGTCATACACTTAAATTTTGGTAAGAGAGCAAACCTTATGTTAAGTGTTATCATAAAAAATTTGAAAACTTTTTAAATATTAAGACAGTAGAAACTTTTGGAGGTGATGAATATGTTTATAGCATTGATGTCTGATGGTTTCATAGGAGTATACTTATCTCCAAACTCACCAAGTTGTACATATTAAATATGTACAGTTTTTGTATGTTAATCATACCTCAACAAAGCACTTCTCAAAAACTAAACATAAATTAAGTACATAAAGTGATTACCATAGTGCATAAAAGTAACAGATATCATTATTATTTCAGCCATCCTACATCCTCCAGACAAAATTCACCACTCTCTACTCCTAGTTCCCCTATCCCATTGCACATGCATTTATATCTTTACATATTATATCAATCAGAATTATGTATTGGATATTTGTTTCCTTCACCAGACAATGAGCTCTTCTGCAAGAGGGACTGCAGTGCATTGGTGGCCCCCAAGCCAAAACCCTTGGGAGGGTATCACATACACTGTAGCTGTCTGCTTAAGAATTAACTGGAAACAAAAGAATCAACCATCCAATGAACCAACCAATCTGTCAATGTAGTCACAGTAAGGCAGATAATAAATCATCTGATTGTAGCTAACAAGTACAATTTCACTGTTAAGAGTTTCCCAAGATCACTGTCTAAAATGTAAATAATCCCAGGAAGAAGTAAATTGTTATGAGTCATTTTTATTTTTGTGAGTCAAGAAAAAAACAAGAAACTTGAACCAAATGCAAAGGATACGCCATTCCTCTGATCCGTTTGATTTTTCCTGGATCTGTGAGCTGAATGGGCTTGAGGACCTTCCTCACAGGACATGAGAAAAACACTTCACCTCCTCCTCCAGGAGGCATTCCCCGTCGCACAATCTGCACACACAGCAAGAAAAAAAAGGTGAGGACTTAGCAAGAGAGGATGGCCTGACACCCAATCTGGTTGGTTCACACCAAGGGGCTCTTTCTTACAAGTCAGAGGGCTCTTTCACATCTAGCCTGTCAATCCCTTCAGGATCAAAAGCACCTTCAAATCAACAGTGTGTCAGAAAGAGTAGTGGACACAGAATCACCTTGTTCCAGTTAAAATCAGGCAGGTCACTTCTTATTTTCACCAGCAGAACCTGTTTCTTCATCCTTAAAATGAGTGACTGGCTTAGTTTAGTTCCTCAGACCATCCCTTTTCTTAACCATCAAAAACTCTTTTCTCTTCCTATGCAATCAACTGATCTATCAAAATTCTACATTATTAAATGAACATGAAGCCATTTCCCCTGTTTAAAACATCAATTTATAAAGCAGAAATGTTAAACAGCTTAAAGTATTCAGTGTTATCAGAGTTTCTTCCAGGTCGGGAGGCTCTGAGCACAAATTATATCCAAATGATCTAAATCAGAGAAGCAATATGGCCAGAATACTGGCTCCACTACTTATTAAGTAGAAGAGTTAGTGTATGCAGAATGCCCACCACATTACCTATCCTAACACAGAGTAAGTGCAATACACCTGCTGGCTGCTATTGTCATCTAAAGGGTCCCTTTCAGCCTAAAGTCTGTAATGTTTGGTTCATGTGTCCTGTGGTCTTCTCATACATGGTGGCTTCAAATATTGCATACACAGACACTGAGTCATATATACAGCCAACAACTTACATGTTCTTACCTTTAGCTCAAATGATTCACCATCAATCCCAAACTGTTTCAACAGAGGGAGAGCTGTTGCCTTAAGGACATCAACCTGTAGAATTATGTCAGAAAAAGTTTAATTAAACCTTGAGAAGTAGAAAAAAGAAACAGCCCACAGAGCAAGTTGAGGTTGAGCAAGCAGGTAGGTGATGCAGACTGGTAAAAAAGACACTGGCTAACAACTGAGGGCATGGGCCAGATCTGCTCCAATGTAAGACCACAATTAAACAAAACACTGGCCTCTCTGAGCCCCTCTTTCCTCCTTTACAACATCATAAACCTACTTATGACTCATGTGAGCATCCCATGCATTATGCCAAAAGACTGAGAAACTGCTGGGCTCATAAAGAAAACAAACTAGGACCTCTGTTTATTCTTATACACATAAACATTATGGAAGAAAATGATCAGCCTTTTTTATTACTGTTTCCAAAATCATTGTTTAATATTTGAGCTGGTGGTACTGCATGCCAAAACAAACCAAATGAGCTATTCAATCTAAGCTGAGGCTACCTAAGAATCCAGCTGATGCCCACCATACAGACAGTTAGAGGTAAGTGGTGATACTACAAGGGGGCCAGGGCGGTCGGGGAATGACAGCCTCAAACTACATAAAGCAGTGCAAACCCCAATAACCACAGTTCATGGTAAGGCTGTGACAAATGCTGTAATTATTGCCTCCTTGTTGAGCTCCTAGGAGGCCTGGGGTCCTTTCTGAAACATTTATGGATTCCTTATAAAGTATTAAGGCTGATATTCAAAGCATCTTATTTAACATGCAGTAAAGGTTGCCTCAACGGTAACTTGGGGAAAAAAAATCACTCCCTTCCTTGTTCCCAGTGGAACAACAGATGCCTCGGTCCCGCAAGGGCTGACCCTATCAGGAGTCAGCGAGGGCAGGCAGCATGAGCAGGGGGTGCAGGAAAAAATCCCTCGTCCTGGTGCAGGCTCTGCCTCCAGTTAACTGTGTGGCCTCAGAGGAGAAAATCCCCACTGTCTCAGTTTCCTTGCCTCTAAGGTAGGGGGCTCAACCTGTCTGTCTTCAAGTTGCTACAAACTCTAACATGCTAAAAGTCAATGGAATACAACTCCAGTAAGGTTTTATAATAATGAAGAGGCCCCAACTAAATTGTCTGATATCACAGAAAAATTAACTATAGGGACAAATGATCTATGAAGCTTAGGAACACGTTCATAATGGATCAGGGGGTCAGAAGCATTTACTAGGAAAACCCATTAAAGATTAGCTAATTTCATGAAATGCTAAAGCTAAACACCCAAAAATTTAAAATATGCATTTGGGATTGCCAGAACCAAGAATAATCCAGTCTGGGCTAGAATCAAGGACAGCTAGAGAAAAGCCAGATTCTGGAAAAACTGGGGGATACAAGGATAGAGGTTACTCTGTCCACTTGATCCCTGGAACTAGATGGCCACTAGGGAAAATAAAGGTGAGAAAACACAGCATCCCTTCTGACTCATCCTACTTATACCTGACATAAAAAATTAAGTCAAACTGACACTGAGGGTCAGACAGAAGCCTAAGGATAAGCCCAGGTGTGGGGGCTGGACAGGGCACATTCCAGTCTCCTCCAGCTCACACCACTCTTCTTTTAGCAGAATGAAGGTGGTCTGCAAGTTCTGCTTAAGGGAAACTGAGCTGTCACTGCATTTGGAGAGAAAAGGAAGTATGACTTGAGTGGCACCTCAGGACAAAGGCATACCCCTTCAGTTCAGCCAATCAATCAATCAGTCAATCTGATCAGGCCTAATCAGATCCAAACAGAATAGGGAAAAAACCTCCTCTCAGTCTTCTTGTCTGAAACTGATAAAAACACCCACCTCATAGAGTTGGTACAAGAATTAAATACAGATACATACTTAGGTGCACATATACACCTAGAACAGTACCCAGCACACAGCAAACATAATTGTACTTCTTTTCACCTTCCAGAAGGGTACCAAAAAGAAAAAAGAAAAAAAAGCAATCCTCATTGACTGTCTGACCAGCCTGTTGGCACCAATAAATATCTACCAGAGGCTCTGGTGCTGAATCATTGAGATTCAAAGAGACCTCCTGAACTTTTCTTCTCAAAATTTCTCCCCATTTCCTGTCCTTTTGCTTCTGAGGAAGAATATCCCTATTCCTGTGTAAGGCTCATCGTTTCTGCTTTGGATACCCATTCCCTCTGGACTTGTGTAAGAGTAAGTTTTAAGTCCCCCCACCCCTTTTAATTCTTTCTTCTCCACTACAAGCCTACAAGCAACCTCAAGTGTCCCTTGCTTAAAAAAAAAATTCCCAGCCTCAGCTCTTAAAGAATCATCCTACCTAACCTTCAGGAAGAATCTCCTAATTTCTATTTCCCACGCATTCCTCAAGTTGTGCCTATCCTTATACTCCAATGACACTGGTCTCCCAAGTCAATAAAACTTCCCCTGCCCAATCTCAAATCAACTTCTGCAAAGACTGACTCCATGGATCATCCTGCTAATTCTTAGAACTCAGTTACTGCATGGTTTCTCCAAACACTTCTACCTCCATAGTCACTGTGCCCAGCTCCCCTTCCCCCACTCACATCTCTAACATTCATTTTTTCTTCTCTTCTGTCAAGCTCCAGCTATGGCTGTCATGGACAAACAGCCACCCCATGCTGTCACATGGACCTACCGTAATGTAAAACCTGGAGTTTCAAACACAAAAAGCCCATTCGGATACACACTCCACCACCTCCACCACCACACTGGACAGGCCAAAGGAAAAACACCAATAGGACTAATTCAGCCAAAAAGCTGCAATGTTCATCCTTGGCACTGGTCAATCTCATTCTCCTAGGGCTCTAACTATCACTAGGTAAAGTCCCAATGACCTATCTCTGAGGCTCCAGACAGGAATTTCCAACCACCAAATGGACATCCCCATGTGGATGTACCTACCAGTACCTCAGGGAACAGGACCATAATCAAACACTTCACCCATCATCCTGCCACAAGTTTCCTCACTCCTGTGCCAAACTCTTATCTGATCTCTATCTATCAAGTGGATGCCCCATCCCACCCCCAGTTGACTGCCAAGTTATGAAGACTCTCCCTCCATATCTGAAGACCTCTTTCGTATCTGTCCATTCCTTTCAACTTTTATCTCCACAATGTCCAAACCAGTAGACACTTCTCCAATCCATCCTTCTCTCGCCTCCAGAGTTATCTCCCTAAAACCCAGACTGAATCTGGGTGTCCCTTCCTCTAGAAAAGCCTCCCAGAGCCTCAGTACTTTGTTTGTACCTCTGCAGAGCCCAGAGGTATCCATCCTTGTTGTCTCCCTAGCTGCATTAACAGCTGCCCACCCCATGAGACCAAGTTCCCTAAGGGCAGAACTCATCGTGTTCATCCTCGTGTACCTAGTAGATGCAGACATGAACCAATGGGGAAACATATATTAAAGGGAAAGCTTGAAATGAAGAAGCCATAGGCTAAAGAAGTTACTCTTTATCCAGGATTACGTATATTTATTTTATCCTGGGCTGGAGCCAGGTACTAACCAATGTCATTTTGGTCATGCAGCTAGCTAAAGCAGACAGTCCTGCAGCATAGGAAAACAGATTTTTTTTAATACTCCACATGAAAGAGTTAAGCACTATTTCTGGGGAATTCATCAACTAATCTTTGTCACTGTTAATATATAAAACTTCTAAAAATATTGCCAGTGATAACAGCTTTTAAGATTATTAGGATTACAGAAAGTATATACAAAACTAGGACACACAGTGCCAAAGTCTCCATATACTGCAGGGCCTTTTCCCATTATTCAAGGCACTCCCCCTAACCATCCTCTAAAAATATAAAGGACTCATCTTTCACTTTTAACTCAACGGCCCATTTCCTACAATCTTTCAGAAAATGCAAAAAAAATCAATCAAGTGAAAGTGAAATTAGTTTAAAATTCTAAACAGTTTATGCAACATTCCTTTATGAATATTGATTTGCACTGTACTCAGGATCCTGGGAAAAGAGTTAATGTACCTGAATTCTCAAGAATTGAGGAATAAGTCTTATAATATCTAAGAACACATTAACCATGTTTTTAACCTAGCAGGTGTCTTGGTGAATACCAGCAGTCTCCATTTTGGGGCTTACTACCCTACCTAATTCGTCTTTCCTGGTTAGGAAAGCCATATACTTCACTCTGCCTCAGAAGCCACCCACTCAGTGGTCTTGGTTCAAAATACGTAGAGGTGAAGAAAAATGCCCTCAGTTAGGACTCACGTTGTGGTCCTCAAAGATACCTTCTCTGGACAGATATCTTTTAGCATCCAAAAATGGGGATGCTTTCCTCCCTAAGAGAGGTCTAAGGCAGGCCTACACAGCACTACTCTTATACCTCTCTCCCTCTCTCTCTCTCTCTCTCTCTCTCACACACCAAAAACTCACCCTAGACTGCACTAAGACAACAGTGGTGGCCACAAAGAAAATTCCAGCTGTCTTTTAAATTACTTCCCCATACACACAGGAAAAAAAGCACACTTAATAAAGTTTGCTGGTGCCCACAAACTACCAAAGTTCACATTTATCTTCCCTGCCCTAATGTGCTTTTTCTAAATCTGCAAACTCTTCTCAAAAGAAGAAAGTCCTCAAGTTTACACATGGCAAAAGTCTCAGTAAGTCAGGATTATGCTTTAGTTATGTCAAGGAGACATTATTTGTCAGCCGCCTTCTAGCCTCAGTTATCACATAACTCTTTAGAACTCCACCCTCACACACTTCAGCCAACAGACCCTTATTTTCATGTCAACCATGATGAGACTGCAAGCATCTGTTCTGGAAGTTCTTAGACACGACCATGAAAGGCACCTTGATGAATGTTAACAGCTGTCACTCAATAGGATGACTACAAGTCTTGGTTCATCTGCCTCCTAGGGCGATCTGTATCTAAATCTCAAAAGTAAATAGCAAGGCAAATACATTCAACAATAAACCTGTGCTTTATCAGGAACTTGTTTCTCAAAAGCTGGGTTGTCACAAGAGACAAACAAAAATCACACCATGGTTTGGCTTCAGTACTCACCGAAGGGTCAACCTGGTCATTAGTTACTCCTCGTAGAACTATTCTTAACGGGTGTTTCATAAATGGAGCCAGGCAGAGAAGACTCTCCAGGTAATAGCCAATGCTGCGAAGGACACTACAGTCATGTTCCAAGGATCCACCATATAGGAGGCCAGGCTGATAATATAAGGTCGTTCCTTATAACAGAGGAAACAGAGCCACATTCAGCAGGAAAAAAAATGAAAAACAAAAAACAAAACAAAAAGAACCCCTAAATGTCACAAAGGCATTGAAGGCACTGAATCTCAAGGCTAAAGTCTGATAAGGGCATCCAAGAGAGTTCAAAATGCCATTCCTAAGGGCCCATACTTCACTCCAACAGCTGACTCATTACTTCAAACCCCTGTAACAATAATAAACTGTGAGTGTAATTTAATAAACAGTAATAAATTAAACCCCTCCCTATGCCACTCAAACTGTCCAAGTCATGGCAGAGCACACAGGAAAGATACTAACAGGCACCCTAGTCTCCTAACAGCACACTCTCAGACCTCTGATGGGGGTGGGGAGGATTTACACATTAACCTGAAACCATCACACCAGCAACCAGGTTTTTCTGGGCCCTTGAAATGAAATTTCCCATGTGCTGTATTTACTAAACAACATGCCCAGAGCACACAGGTACTTTATGGCACTTAATTCCATTAACAATAGCTATTTTAATTTAACAGTAACAAACGGGAATATCTGAAATTATTGAATAGCTTTAGTGGAAACTCTTCATTATTTTCACTCATTCTCACATATTCATACTACTCAAAAAATTTCCTACTGCCTTTCGTAATGGAAGAAAAAGTAAAATACTCTAAGTGATTTGGGGGGTATAAACGTGTGAAATATTATACGGTATTTCTGCCACTCAAAATCTTTTGCCATTGTCTTCTGGCACAATATACAAATAAATAAATTTAACATTAGAGGAAAGAGATATGTCCAGTCACTCAAAAGGAAAACTGTTCTTGGGGGTTTTATAAAATAAATGGACGTTTTACTATATTACAAACCAAAATCCCAGCAATCACAATCAGAATCATATTCTGATTAAAGTGGGAAAGATTCTACATCAGTTATTCTAATTATTATTGTCACAAAACCAATCCTTTAGGTCATAAAGCCAAAAACAAAAGACTACAGATTCTCAAGATGGCAGCATGAGTAGGTTGGTGAAAATCTTCTCCCAAAACCATATAAATTTTGAAAATACAGAAAATACAACAATTCCTAAAAGAGTGACCAGAAAATACAGTACACAAGCCAGGCTACATCTGCAAGAACCCAACATCTCATGGAAAAGGGTAAGATACAAAGTCGTGACCCAAGCACTCTCCCCACCCCAGCTCACCAGCGGGAGGAAAAGAATCAGAGTGGGGAGGGAATGGAAGCACAGGACTGCTAAATACCCAGAAATCTGCCCTGGGACCACAGACACACATTGCATGGTGCTCTGGATATTAGAGGAGTGGAACAGCAAAATCTGAGACCAAGACTGTGAATAGCTTCCCACACCCGGGTGCCCTGGGACAAAAGAAAAGCAGGTGCTTTAAAAATCTTAAAGGGACAAGGGTTTAACAGGTGGTCAAAATAGCCCTGGCACACTCAGCCCAGCAGGCTGGGATCTTTAAGGAACTTCAGGCACCCTAACCCCCTCAGTGGCAACACAGCTCTGAAGCCCCTCACCGTAATAAGCAGCCTGCCATTCCTTTCCCCCCCTCCAGAACCGCAAGCAAACCAGCTGATCCGCCATTGCTGCGGAAAAGCCAGGGAGCAGCCCCACCCACAGCAACCACACAGCTTAACAAAGGCTTCTCCCTGCACAAGGCTAACCTGCCCAGAACCAGAGGCTGCTCCCTGTGCACGGTTAACCGGCAGAGACAGCGGAGATAGGCGGAGAGTCCGGGATGCACAAAGGGGCTTTATTCTCCCAGCAGAACAAACACGGCTCACCAGTGACCTCCACCAGTGCCCTAAGCCATCCTGAGGGCTGCCCCACCCACATCAGCTCAGGGGATTAATCCAGACACTGCTCCCTGCACATGGTTGACCAGCACAGACAGCAGAGATGGGTGCAGAGTTCAGGAAGCATGAAGGGGCTCTGTATTCATGGCAGAACACATGCCACTCGCCTGCGACCCTAGCCAGTGCCATAGGCCACCACGAGGGCCACCCCACACATGGCAGCTCAGGGGATTGACTGAGAGACTGCTCCATGTGTGCAGTTGACTGGCACAGACAGAGGAGATGGGCAAGATGACCTGCAAGCAGGAAGGGACGTTGTTCTCCCAGCTGACACACATGCCACTCACCAGCGACCACTCCCATCGCAATGAAATGGCAGAAGAACCTTGTTCAGTCCAAAATCCCTCAAACACCAGAAAGAGGGTATGGTAAGACTGAAATCACCAATCTTCCTAAAAGAATTCAAAATAAAGTCATAAGCATGCTGATGGAGCTACAGAGAAATATTCAAGAGCCAAGGGATGAATTCTGGAGGGAGATAACAGAAATGAAACAAACAATTAAAGGATTTAAGAGCAGACTGGATGAGGTGGAAGAGACTGTTAATGGAATAGAAATCAGAAAACAGGAATACAGTGAAGCTGAGGCAGAGAGAGATGAAAGGATCTCTGGAATGAAAGACTACTAAGAGAACTGTGTGACCAATCCAAACGGAACAATATCCGCACTATAGGGGTACAAGAAGAAGAGACAGAAAAAGGGATAGAAAGTGTCTTTGAAGAAATAACTGCTGAAAACCCCCAATCTGGGGAAGTAAATAGTCTCTCAGACCATGGAAGTCCACAGATGTCCCAACACAAGGGACCCAAGGAGGACAACACCAAGACACATAATAATTAAAATGGCAAAGATCAAGGACAAGGACAGAATACTAAAAGCAGCCAGAGAGAGAAAAAAAATTACCTACAAAGGAAAACCCATCAGGCTATCATCAGACTTCTCAACAGAAACCTAAAAGGCCAGAAGAGAATGGCATGATATATTTAATGCAATGAAACAGAAGGGCCTCAAAACAAGATGACTGTATCCAGCAAGGTAATCATTTAAATTTGAAGAAGGGATTAAACAATTCCCAGATGAGCAACAGTTGAGGGAATTCACCTCCCACAAACCATCTCTACAATGTACTTTAAAGGGACTGCTCTAGATGGAAGTATGGTTTAGGCTAAACAGTTGTCACCAGAGAAAAGAAAGCCACAGCAAAGAAAGCAGATCAACCAAATACTAACTAAATACAGAATAAAGTCAGCTATTCATAAAATCAGTCCAGAGAAATACACAGAGTACAGAATAAAACACCAAACATGTAAAGAGTGGAGAAGAAAGAAAAAGAAGGGAGAGAAATAAAGAATCACCAGACAGTGTTTATAACAATGTAATAAGTGAGGTAAATTAGATAGTTAGATAGGAGAGAAGCTGCCCTTGAACCTTTGCTAAACACTAATCCAAAGCCTGCAATGGCAATAAGTACATATTTATCAATAATCACCCTAAATATACATGGAATGAATACACCAATGAAAAGACATAGAGTCACTGAATGGATAAAAAAGCAAGACCCATCTATATGCTGCCTACAAGAGACCCACATGAAACTCAAAGACATACACAGACTGAAAGTGAAGGGATGGAAAAACATATTTCATGCCAACAACAGGGAAAAAAAGCAGGTGTTGCAGTACTTGTATCAGACAAAATAGACTTCAAAACAAAGAAAGTAATACGATACAAAGAAGGACATTACATAATGATAAAGGGGTCAGTCCAACAAGTGGATATAATCATTATAAATAACTATGCACCCAACACAGGAGCACCTACACATGTGAAACAAATACTAACAGAATTAAAGGAGGAAATAGAAATGCAATGCATTCATTTTAGGAGACTTCAACACACCACTCACTCCAAAGGACAGATCAACCAGACAGAAAATAAATAAGGAGACAGAGGCACTGAACAATACACTAGAACAGATAGACCTAAGAGACATCTACAGAACTCTACACCCAAAAGCAGCAGGGTATACATTCTTCTCTAGTGCACATGGGACATTTTCCAGAATAGACCACATACTAGGCCACAAAAAGAGCCTCAGTAAATTCAAAAAGACTGAAATTCTACCAACCAACTTCTCATATCACAAAGGTATAAAACCAAAAATAAATTGTACAAAGAAAACAAAAAGGCTCACAAACACATGGAGGCTTAACAACATGCACCTAAATAATCAATAGATCAATGACCAAATTAAAACAGAGATCAAGCAATATATGGAAACATAAATGACAACAACAGCACAATGCCCCAACTTCTGTGGGATGCAGTGAAGGCAGTTCCAAGAGGAACGTATATAGCAATCAAGGCCTATTAAAAGAAGGAAGAACAATCCCCAATGAATAGTCTAAAGTCACAATTATTGTAACTGGAAAAAGAAGAATGAGGGCCAAAGTCAGCAGAAGGAGAGAAGAAAAAGACAATACAAAAAATTGATGAAACCAAAAGCTGGTTCTTTGAGAAAATAAACAAAATTGATGAACCCCTAGCCAGACTTACTAAGAAAAAAAGAGAATCTACACACATAAACAGAATCAGAAATGAGAAAGGAAAAATCACGACACCACAGAAATACACAGAATTATTAGAGAATACTGAAAATCTATACACTAACAAGCTGGATAACCTAGAAGAAATGGACAACTTTCTAGAAAAACACAACTTTTCAAGACTGACCAAGGAAGAAACAGAAAATCTTTTATGAGACACTTAGAGAAGAAATAATACCCATTTCTTCTTTAAGTTTTCCAAAAAATAGAAGAGGGAATACTCCCAAACTCATTCTATGAAGCGATCATCACTCTAATACCAAAACCAGGCAGAGACCCCACAAAAAAAGACAATTACAGAGCAATATGCCTGATGAACATAGATGCAAAAATACTCAACAAAATATTAGCAAACCAAATTCAAAAATACATCAAGAGGATCATACACCATGATCAAGTGGGATTCATCTCAGGGATGTAAGGATGGTACAACATTCGAAAATCCATCAACATCATCCATCACATCAACAAAAAGAAGGAAGAAGGACAACAACCATATTTATCACCATAGATGCTGAAAAAGCATTCAACAAAATTCAACATCCATTCATGAAAGAAACTCTCAACAAAATGGGTATAGAGGGCAGGTACCTCAACATAATAAAGGCCATATATGACAAACCCACAGTCAACATCATACTTAACAGCAAGAAGTTGAAAGCTTTTCCCCTAAGATCAGAAACAAGACAAGGATGCCCACTCTCCACACTTTTATTCAACATAGTACTGGATGAAGATCCTAGCCACTGCAATCAGACAACAGAAAGAAATAAAAGGCATCCAGATTGGTAAGAAAGAAGTCAAACTGTCACTGTTTGCAGATGACAGGATATTGTACATAAAAACTCTAAAGAATCCACTCCAAAACCACTAGAACTAATATCTGAATTCAGCAAAGTTGCAGGATACAAAATTAATACACAGAAATCTGTTGCATTCCTATACACTAACAATGAATTAGCAGAAAGAGAAATCAGGAAAACAATTCCATTTACAATCATCAAAAAGGAAAAAATACCTAGGAATAGACCTAACCAAGAAAGTGAAAGAAACCACAAAGACACTCTTAAGAGAAATTAAAGAGGACACTAAAAAATGGAAATTCATTTCACGATCTTGGCTAGAAAGAATTAATATTATCAAAAGGCCATCCTGCCTAAAGCAATCTACAGATTCAATGCAATCCCATCAAAATGCCAACAGCATTCTTCAACGAACTGGAACAAATAGTTTTAAAATTCATATGGAACCACAAAAGACCCCAAATAGCCAAAACAATCCTGAGAAGGAAGAATAAAGCAGGGGGTATCTCACTTCCCAACTTCAAGCTCTACTACAAAGCCACAGTAATCAAGACAATTTGGTACTGGCATAAGAACAGACCCACAGACCAGTGGAACAGAATAGAGACTCCAGATATTAACCCAAGCATACATGGTCAATTAATGTATGATAAAGGAGCCATGGATATACAATGGGGAAATGACAGCCTCTTCAACAGCTGGGGTTGGCAAAACTGGACACCTACATGTAAGGGAATGAAACTGAATTACTGTCTAACCCCATACACAAAAGTAAACTCGAAATGGATCAAAGACCTGAATGTAAGTCATGAAGCCATAAAACTCTCAGAAGAAAATATAGGCAAAACTCTCTTGAATATAAACATGAGCAACTTCTTCATGAACATATCTCCCCGGGCAAGGAAATAAAAGCAAAAATGAACAAGTGGGACTATATCAAACTAAAAAGCTTCTGTTACAGCAAAGGACACACCATCAGTAGAACAAAAAGGCATCCTACAGTATGAGAGAATATATTCATAAATGACATATCCGGTAAGGGGTTGACATCCAAAATACGCAAAAGCTCACACACCTCAACAAACAAAAAGCAAATAATCCAATTAAAAAATGGGCAGAGGATCTGAACACTTCTCCAAAGAAGAAATTCAGATGGCCAACAGACACATGAAAAGATGCTCCACATCACTTATCATCAGAGAAATGCAAATTAAAAACACAATGAGGTATCACCTCATGCCAGTTAGGATGGCCAACACAGAAAAGACTAGGAACAATAAATGCTGGCAAGGATGTGGAGAAAGCGGAACCCTCCTACATTGCTGGTGGGAATGTAAACTAGTTCAACTATTGTGGAAAGCAGTATGGAGGTGCCTCAAAAAGCTAAAAAAAGAAGTACCATTTGACCCAGGAATTCCACCTCTAGGAATTTACCCTAAGAATGCAGAATCCCAGTTTGAAAAAGACATGCCCCCTATGTTTATTGCAGCACTATTTACAATAGCCAAGATATGGAAGCAACCTAAGTGTCCATCAGCAGATGAATGGATAAAGAAGATGTGGTACATATACACAATGGAATACTATTCAGCCATAAGAAGAAAACAAATTGTACCATTTGCAACAACATGGATGGAGCTAGAGGGTATTAGCTCAGTGAAATAAGCTAGGCAGAAAAAGACAAGTATCAAATGATCTCACTAATCTGTGGAGTATAGGAACAAAGAAAAAACTGAAGGAACAAAACAGCAGCAGACTCACAGAACCCAAGAATGGACTAACAGTTCCCAAAGGGAAATGGATTGGGGAGGATGGGTGGGAAGGGAGGGACAGGGGGAAAAAGGGGCATTATGGTTAGCACACATAATGTACACAGGGAGCACAGGGAAAGCAGTATAGCACAGAGAAGACAAGTAGTGATTCTACAGCATTTTACTACAGACAGAGACTGTGTTGGGGTATGTGGTGGGGACTTGATAATGGGCAGAATCTAGTAACCACAATGTTGTTAATGTAATTTTATACTGATACCAAAATAAAAAAATTTTTTTTTAATTTTAAAAGACTACATAACCACTAGTCTGGCAAATCTGTTTATGTCTGCAAATTAACCAAATGTGAACAGGTGTGTGTGTGTGCATGTGCGTATGCATGTGTTACATTATGTAAATGTCTCACTTCCCAGCTCAAGCTACAGATGGGACTAGAAAAGACCAGAAGTGCCTAACCTCTGAATCATCAATAAAACTTGCTGAAAAAATCTCTAGCAATTTCTAAGTAAATAAGGCAGAAAGACTAAGGGAATCATAACTTGTGAAGCGTATCTGAAGTTGCATGCCTGAAACCTGTTCTCTATCATTGAATGCAGCTACAGATCAAGTCTCATATGGTGTGAGACCACTCAGGAATCCAAGCTTGTCTTCTTTCTTTAGACAGCCAACATAGGGAAAGTTCAGAGTTGAATACACATACATAGGTACATAGTTCATGGAGCTGGCCAAAGCATGTCTGCCCTGGTCTCCTATACAATATAGATAAAGAGCTTCTAATAGTAAACAAACAAAAGGTGAAAAACAACCTAAGTGTTTATCAGTAGGTAGCAGTTAAATGAATTCTCATGCATCGAAACAACAGAACACTATACCAGGCCCACTGAAATACTGAGATGGACTGCATGTGCCAGCAGGGAAAGTTTTGAGACATCTGTACAAATGAGAAAAGCTGGCTGCAGAATCATATGAAGAGCATGACCCTGTAGGTGGTTTGGAACACCGAAATGCCCATATAAGCACATGCATAAAAAGGAGACCAGGGGGACACACACCCCGGTCTGTGACAATGATTACCTCTGGGTGGGGTCCTGGTTGGGGGAGGGGGGAAATGGAAGAGGAAACAAGTAAAGGGATTTTTTCATGTTTTGCAAATACTTGTGTAAACGTATCGTAAAAAACAAAATAAATAAAATTCAGCACATATAATAACTACTACATAATTTCTTGTTACGATGTTATTCTGACAATATAAATGAATGGACTTTGAAAAATTGTTTGTAAATTTTAGGCATAAAATCTTATTGTTAAAAAAGAGGAGGTGCTTGTTTCTTGGTCTGAAATTTTCAGTCTCCCTACTTCCTTAAATCAAGTGTATGCCCCATAAATTGACAGATTTCACATATACCTCCAGATAATTGTATCAAACAGGAAACTGGGTCTTTCCATCTGAATACAGTATTTATACCATCAAAAGGCATGAGAAATAGAAAAACATTTAAGTAGTACACATAGGTGTTTTCAGGAATGGGAATAAAAGGAGATTACCTGTTTGGTTTATTTCAATTCGAGAGCCATTAGTTATTTTGTCCAAAAGCCTTATGAAGCTGGCTTCAAAATCTGTGGGCAGAAGAGAAAACCTTGTGAGGTCACCATTTCCAGAGAACACACCCATTCAGGCCCTGCAGCAGATGGTAGGTTACTTCCTGCACCACACCTGGATTTTTCTCAGGACCTGGGTGGGATCACTGGATGAGGAACTTGAAGCAGTTACTAGCATGTATGTGTTTGGAGAACTACTCGAAACAATTCAGCTTTCATATTCCACATAAAAGAGCAACTCACCAGCAATGGGACACTAACTTCAGCAGCATTAACACCCATAATAACCTGTTCTGACCTCGGGAGCACACACCAAATGTGGGAGAAATAGCAGAAAGTAGGGAACAGTGTTAAAGTCAAATTCTTACTTGCTCTAGAATCCCCTAAGGGGCAGATTAAATCAAGGGCCACCCTCCAATTTCAGGAACAGTAAGAGGCCACAGTGTCTCTCCCAGTCAATAGTGCCCCTTCTCCCTTCCTCTACCATCTTACTGAATGACTGCTGTTTAACTGGATCAGTTTTTAATTTCATTACAAAGGTGCTTGAATGTAGTTTTACTGTCACCTTTTCTTAAATGCATGAAAAAAAGACTGGAACAAAAAACACTACATTTTAAAGCCAGGCAGAGAAAGACAAGTACCAAATGATTTCACTCGTATGTGGAATATAAGAACAAAGGAAAAACTGAAGGAACAAAATAGCAGCAGACTCACAGAACCCAAGAAAGGACTAACAGTTACCAAAGGGAAAGGGACTGGGGAGGATGGGTGGGAAGGGAGGGAGAAGAGGGGGGAGAAGAAAGGGGGCTTTACGATTAGCATGTATAATGTGGGGGGGGCGAGCACAGGGAGGGCTGTGCAACACAGAGAAGACAAGCAGTGATTCTACAGCATCTTACTACGCTGATGGACAGTGACTAATGGAGTATGTGAGGGGGACTTGGTGAAGGGGGGGGCCTAGTAAACATAATGTTCCTCATGTAATTGTAGATTAATGATACCAAAAAATAATAATAGTGGAAAAAATAAATACATACATACATACACAAATAAATAAATAAATAAATGTAAGATCCTCTCCTCAAAAAAAAAAAACACTACATTCTAATAAATAGATTTTTCTTCATGGTAGCACTTCATATAAATTTACTTTTCTTGTATAAATTTTAATGTCCAAATTTGCTTCAATTCCTTTTATGAACATATTGGTACTTAAAATATAAAAGCTGGTCATTATTTATGAGGGGGTGGGTGGAGAGAGGTATTTGATTTTAAATGTAAAATATGGAAGGAAGCAGAGTTGGGATTCACAGAAGAAAACAGGTCTTCTGGCCCTCTCCTGCGTTATCTCTCTCTTCAATCCCCTGCCCATGCACAAACATAGGAAGACAACCCTCTGTACTAAAGGCACTGTGACTGACTGCCTAATGCTTTTAGGCAGTTCTCACTCCCATAATAAACTAGCAAAGCTTCTGAGCACAAACCCTAGCAGTCACCAGAACTGATACCAAAGAGTGAGCAGAATCAGCTAAGCAATTCCCATCCACCTGTTCTGTTACTTAACATTCTCCCAGAACTCTTGTCATAGTAGATTCTGCAATTTGGACAAAGAGCACTGGGCTAGAGAGAAACTCCAGTAAGTCCAAATACAAGTAATAAAGTTTTAATAATGTTATAATAGTAACAGCGGCAGTACATTAATGCTTACCTTACAGCCAGCCATTCTCTCACTTAATGCCAAGGCAGGAAGTTTAAGTCCCATTTCAGACGGCTGAAGCTCAAGAATGATGACTGGCAAGTGAGTTGGGCCCAGGTCTGCCCTTCTCCAAAATCCATGCTCTTAACCACACCATGACATTAGTTTGCCTAACTCACTTTAATCCCTCAGAGCCAACCACCTTCTAGAAAATCATGGTACCTTTTTAACTGCAGGCAGTGACTTACTGAGGGATCCTGCAGACAATTTAATGGGACCCCAATCAATACTTTTTAAATGATTAGAACAGAATAAGTGATATCAGAGAAACTGTATAAAGCAAGGGTGCTATCCATGTAACTTCAGTCTCAGTTTCAGACATGCTTGTATGCGTACTAGACTGTGATGTAACTAGCATCACAGGAGTTTCAAAGTATCTCAACTACAAAACTGAACCAGAAATGATTTCTGCAGTCTTTTTTACTTAAAAATCAAGCATAATCCATGTCACAACACTACTTTCCTACTTATGTTTATGGCAAATGCAAGCTACTCTGCACAAAAAAGGAAAACATGATTTATTCAAGTTTTTGAGGGGCCTAAGTGGGGGAAAGAAACAAGCATTTATTAATAAAGCCCAACATTAAACTCCACAAGATCAAACTCCAGATTAAATTTGTAACTGTACAGATTAGGGAGATAAAAAGCATGACTTCAGGGAAAATTTCTTTTCTTTTTTTTTTTGCAACCCCCAAGTGCTCTTAAGCATGAACACAGTTAAAAATGCCCAGCAGAGGGGCATTAGTAGGAACAGAATGGGCACATAAAGAGACCTCCAGGCAGGACCATCCCCTGATCACAGCAAATGGGTGCTTCAGAGCAGTGCTTCAAAGAACCAAACTCAGAGCTAGTTCTGGAATCCCGGCAACAGTGAAGATATAGCTCCATCACCTGGTACAAAAAAGATCTCAAGTCCATCTAACAATAGTTAAGACCTAAGTTCCCAAAATTCAGTAAGACAAGATGTACAGGATTCCTTGCCCCCTTACTTCCCTCACACCCTCTGAGACTGCTCCCAGGGTACAGAATTTCACATATATAAAAAAACATTAGCAAAAAAGTTCCAAAAATAAGCACGATTTTACTACATTGTTTAGGAATGCATAATCAAATAATAAAGTTATAAAGACATCAACATGAACAGCATAATAGTCAGGAAAGTGGCTACCACTAAAGGGGCATGGAAGGGAGTATAAATGGAAGAGGCTCCAACATGTGGGCAGTGTTCTCTATTCATTGACCGGGAAGGGTCACATGGATGTTCATTTTATAATCGTTTAAGCACTACTTTTATGTCTTACACATTGTTTAATGTTAATGTATTTCACATTTTAAAAAATTTGTACTGTCAGACAACCTCAGGATTCCTTAACTACCACCTCCCATATCTAATACCATCCCTTCTCTGGCCCCCCAAAATGAGCTTATCATATTTTTAAAGGGTAACTAAAAGGTAGTGGCAGTCTTCAGCCTGACCCATGCCTCACTAAGAAAGGCAAAACCATGTCTCAAAGAAGGAAAGTGAGAGAAGGAATACAATATAAAAATCTGTACTTAGAAACAAGAAGCAAATCTCATTCAATACAGTTTCAATTTAAAAGTATTATAACAACTTAAATATTTAAAAATTAGTCTGCCTACTGGCACAACTATATATCAGAACAATTTGCAGCCTTCATAAGGTTTTTTTATATACTAACATGAATCATCTCCATGGTATACTGAACAAAAAAGAGGTAATATGCAAAAAAGAGGTCGTTTGTGTGAAAAAGGAAAAAGTGCGTATATATTTGCTTATTTATGGAGAAAAAAAAAAAAAAGCCCTAAAAAGAAACACAACAAACTTAATACAGGTTACTTCGAGGGAAGGAAGATTAGGAAAGACTCATAGAGACAGATTTTGTAAGCCCTTTTGATCCCTTTATATTTCATGCCATGTGTATGTTTTTTAAAATACATAAAATTTGAATTAAAAAGGACACATGAAAGTACTATAACACAATTAAATTGCCAATAAACCTGCTCTCATTAAATAGCCTACGAAAGATCTTATAATACTATGCAGCCATTAATAGTATTTTTAAATATTCATTTAATTACATGAGGAAATGCTCACATTATATACACTAAGGAAAAAATTTAAAAGCAATATATGCAATGTGATGTCAATTTCCTTAGAGAAATAATCGAAAGATGACAAACTATTAACATGTGAAATTAGGAGTCATTGTTTTCCTCATTAAATCCAAAAAGGAAGAAATTACAAACACCCAATTCTGAGAATAAATTAAAAGATGTCCACTCACTTGGAAACAATGTATGTATAAAAAATATATATTTTTTTGTATTTATGTATAATATGCAATTATATACCTGATAAGTAAATTATATTTTAACTTAAACATATAAAACCTTTCCTAAATTATGAGCAGAAAAAGAAAAATAGTGCAGAATGTAAAATATCTTGAACCAAATGTCAATTTTAACACAATATGAAGCAGTCTACCAAAAAAACTACATATCTTAGTAATAAAGAAAATGAAAAGCAAGAACAAAATGAACTCAGATTTTAGAAACAACAAAATTATAAGCCAAAAGAAAATAATAATCTCAAAAGAACACAAAGTACAAAATGTAGGAAAAAATCAAGTAATTAAGAAAACAACACAAAAGCCTCATTCATTAGTAAAAGGAAAGAAAATGTGAATAAACAGAAAAAAAATAACATAATTTTAAAAATTAAGAGCTTTTGTGACTAACTATTCTCTATTACTTCCTAATACATTTGGAATTAGGATATATAGCTATATAAAAATCTGACAAATCAAAAGTGATCAAACAAATAATAAAAACAAATGTGTAGAGATAACTTCAATTGTAAAACATTTCAGAGCAAGCACCACATGCAAAAAAATTAAATTATAAATTAACCTCATTTAATGAGAACAAATGAAAAATTCCAAATAAAATCTTAGAAAAGAGACTAGTATACTTTCTTTTTTTTACTATCCACTATGATTAAGGATGCATCCCAGGGATGTACTACAGATAAAACAAAAGGAAAACTACAACATAATTAAATACAAAAATGGGGGAAAAAAACAAGTAACTAGCTTAATAGCTATGGAAAACGCACCTGGTAAAACTCCATATCGACTTTTCAGTAAAATTCTTTTTTAAAAAGTATGATGAATGAATTTATTTAATGTAATAGAGTTTATATATAAAAACAGAAGCCTTACAAGTTTCAGGAGAATGTCTT